CTCATTTAAGTGTATTTACATTTTGTATAAAATTGAAGAAAAGTAATACTATTTTTGGCAAATTAATTTTATTCGATAAATAATCTAACTTTGGATTACAAACATCACAAAAGAAAACTCACTGACCTTGGACAAAATCATTTTTCAAGTCACTTTAAAGGTATTTTATTATCAAAATGCAATACAACATTATTATTTTAATTAATACATTTATCAATTTTTACACAAAACTGAATAAATATTTAAAAACACATAATGGAAAACTAGAGCTCATTATCATTATCACTACTCCAGAATCAGAAAAAAAAACAAGGTAAAAGGACTTAAAATACTTTGGAAAAACAAGTTCAGTGAATTGAAAAAAAAAGAGTCAAAGCATCGAGTTGAGTAGTTCTCATGGGAAAAAGCTTTTTGAAATCAAGGCTGACAGTATTATTTCAGGAGTTTAAAACTCTTACAAAAACTTTCCCAAATTATTTTTTTTTGTACATTAAACTTGAATTGTATTTTAGCATTACAATACTAAAGAATAATCTAGTTGCCAGAGCAAGCATTGATTCTTACTACATAGTACTAGTCTTTGAAACCTAGAGATGAGCAAGCATTAAATTATGATACATTTTTTTAATGACTTGTAGAGCCCTGGCTAATCTTTCACCCAGCTGATGTAGCACCATTGTTTCTATTTAGTGCTTTACTAATTTATAAAAATAATAAATGTACTACATTTTGTTCCAGTGGCCCAGACGTTTTGGAAGAAAGCGTTTTCCTAGCATGACTTGGGGAGATCCTGCACTAAAACGTCAGCGAAGAGATTCTAGTAATGAAGGTATGTTGTCTGTACTCTTAGAATATGTGGCCAAGGGAACATCCATAGTTGCTGAACCCAAGGTCTCATATCCTGTTGAAAAAAAAACTGGTATTTTATGAGGGATCTTAAGATTTATCCAGTTTTAATAGTACTGTTGGTTATAATGAAGGTAATTTTTCTCTTTGTTAAAGAAACAGAACTTGGTAATGTTTAAGACTCTTGGTAGCTGTTCTCATTGACAGACCAGAAGTATAGGTTATTTTTTTTACTGCTGTGGATAGCTTTAGTTACTATTGTGTGTTTTTTTTTTTTAATTTTGTTCAGTGCAAATCTTGAGAATGTATATTCAAAGAATCTTTACACTGATATATGTATTCTAAGAGTTGCACTCAGCCAAAAAAAAAAAGATTTTTATGTACATTGAACTGATTTGAACTTGTCACTATTTAAACAGTTAAGTGTTTTTTTCCCCCCAGAGTCCAACAAATGTCCTTTTGACTTTGATGCAGAAGAAGATGCCAAGATGCTTCCTCCAGCTCCCCCATTGAAGCAACTCAGAATAGACAGGTCTCCAATTAGAGCTTCAGTCAGCTCTTGTTCACTGAGTCCATTGAGTCCGTCTCCATTTAGGCCAAGCTATGACTCTCCTGTCAAAACTCCAGAAAAAAAATGTCAGAAAAAAAATCTGTTTGATGAGCAAGAAGAAATTAATGGGAAAAAGATTCGACAGAAACGCAAACCAGGAAGACCACCAAAGGATGCTGGCTGGCCTGACAAACCAGTTAGGCGCTCAAAGGAAGACAGATCTGTAGACAAGAAAAGCTTGACACGCAAAGCTGGTCGACCTACTGTAAAGGAAAATGTGCCAAGAAAACTTGGCAGACCTTTTAAACGTAAACCAGGGCGACCACCTAAGAAACAGGAAGTTGATGAAGAGTCCAACGCAGCAGACAAACTATCAAGTGAGAAAGAAGGAAATAAAGCTTGTAAAATTCCAGGAAGAAGACCAGGCCGACCTAAAAAAGTATATATACTTCCTTTTTATTTGTGTGTACATCATGGTGCTACTTAAAAACTTCACTCGCTAAGCTATGATTTAATTCAATAAATAATTGAATAAAAATGTTCTTAAGACATGTCTGTATTTAATATACTAAGGCTTACACTTTGAGTTCAATGGGTGTCTTATTTTTCAGGCTGTGGATGTTTCCAACGGTAAAGTGGAAGAAGAAAATGTCCCTAGCCCAGTTGATGAGCAGACTCAAGACAGCACTAGTGAAGAGAAAAAGCCTGCAGAAAAAGAACAGACTGAGTGTGAGACAGAGTTCTTGCCTGCTGCTACAACCCCTAGTCTCAGCCCAGCTCCAAAGAAAAGTAAAATTATAGAGGAATATATTGACTCCTCTTCCTCCAGTGACAGCAGTGACTCCTCCAACTCAGACTCCTCAGATTCAGATGATGAAGAGGATGATAATGATGGAGACAATGATGATTCTGATGAAGAAGATAACACACCAAAAGTTAAATCAGATGTGGAAAGTGTCAACAAACTTCATCCTAATGTAGAAATGATGACCAAAGTCCGGCGTTTGTCAGCCTCATCATCAGATGATGACAGTAATCAGGCTGATAATACAAACAATCTAAGCCAGAGCAAACCGGTATTGGAGAGTCCTAAAGAGGAGGATAGTGTAGTGGAGAAACAGACTCACCTGACTCCTCCAAAGAAACAGTTGTCCGAGTCTGACAGTGATAGTGATGAATCTGTATCCTTGAAACTTAAAGAAACTTTATCCAAGGAGCCAGAGATCAACAGGAATGTCACTCCTGTCGAAGACGAAGAAACCAAAGCTGCAAGTCAGAATCTGGCAGACATTGTGAAAGACTTGGAAGAAGCTGATGAAGATAAGAAAGTGGCAAGCCCAGAAGTACAACAGCAGGCTAGTGTGGAGTCTGATGTTGGTCAGGAATCTTCTTCCTTTGGTAGCATAGATGAGTTAACTGATGCTCTTAGTGATGCAGATTCTCCTACAGACCCTCAAATTCCATCTTCCCCTCCGCCTGCTCCTGCTCCAGTAATGATCAACAGTGATGATGATGACATTCCCATGGAGCCCACCTCTCCAAGCCCAGAACGTCGTCCTCTACTTCAGCAGTCCTCAGAAGCACCCATTAATCGTTTATCTGACCCCCTTCTTTCATCCCCTCCTCAGCACCAATCTACAATTCTGTCATCACCTCAGCAACACTCAGCTATTTTATCGTCACCTCCTCAGCACCACTCCAATCTTGGTCACAATACTATGTCTGGCATGTTCCCCAACTCCCCAATCTTAATTTCCCCCTCACCTGAGGTAAAGCCAGGCCAGCATCATCAGCCCCCCTGTACACCAAACCAACAGATCCATACACCTTCCTCTCATGAAGATCAGTATCAAAATGTTGGAAGTGTTCCACTCACCTCTCCTGTCCAGCATCCATCTCCAGTACACCTGACTTCTCCAGCCCACTTAACTTCCCCATCCCAGTTATCTTCCCCTGTGATGAGTGGCTCCCTGCTGTCTCACCAAGAGAAACACTTAACTCAGATAGATACATCTCCTGGCATAGCACAGTCTAAAGCACATACCAATATGGGTTTGAATGCTCCTTCTAGAGCTAGCAAATCTACATCCTCACGCACTCAGCCGAAATCTAGGTCACAAACATCTAGTCAGAGCAGGGTGCAGCAGGGTTTCCATGCATCCTCTAGTAGTGGTCCAACTTCAATGACCAACCTGCAGAGCATGCAGCAACAAAACTATGAACTAAATGTTGCCCAACTAGGTCTTGCTTCTGCAGCTTCTCTTAACTCTGGAGATATGACCACAGACAGCAGCCAACATTCTTCATTGACTCAACTGAACTATGACTGTGCCCAAAACATGCAGTACTGTAGCAACAACCAAGGTCGCAATAGTTTTATGGACACTGTAAATATGGGCAATCTTCAAGCCATGCATGCACACACAAGTACATCTTCAGGGGTCTATATGAATCCTCCCACAACTAGCATGAACTACCATCACCATGGCTCACCTCTCTCCACATACAGCCAAACTATTATTCCCATTAGTCAACAGCAACTCCAACGGCAGCAACAACAACAACAACAGAGACAAGCCAGTGGCCAGCAAACACTTCAACATCCCAATTCTGGCAGGTTGTTGCAGAGCTCCACTCCTATCCCTATGGTGGTCCAACAAGCTTTGCTGCAAGGTGGTACAGTCTATCAAACAAGCCAGCAACCTAATAACTGTGATCTAATCAAATTACAACAACTGACCAACCGCATTCAGGATTTGCCAGTTGAGTCCTTGCAGATGACACCACCTCAAAATATGACTCCTCCTCCTGCCACCATCAATATGACTCCACCGCCAACAGTAATGATGCGTTCTATGACGACTCCTCCTATCTCTGCTGCTCATTCTGCACTCATGGGTCAACCTACGGCTCCACCATACAAGCGTCAGCGCTCTACTTCCTCCGCATCCCGTAAAGCGCCAAGCGTTGCTGCTGCCAGTAGTCCAAACGTTACGCTAAATCCCAACATGAGTCTGTCCCCCAATGTGACCATACAGCCAACATCTTCCATGATCCCTGGCTACCTCAACTACCGAGTGCCACAAGGTATGATCAATCCTAATTATATCTCTGCAAACCCCCACAGATTCCTACAACCGCAACAGCTGCCTATGCAGATGCAGATGATGAACATGAACGTCCATGCAGCTGGCCCTCCAGCTGCCTTCCAGCAACAAGTGCAGTCTAGCCAGCCTGGTAACCCCACAGCAGTGTATACACCTTACTACATCAACATGAACAATGTCATGAGGAGGTAAATCCTGCAGGACTTTTGTGTCTACGTATGTGGACAGTGTAGTTCAAAGACAGTCTTTCATGAGTTATTGGGACCTGTTTTTATTTATACATTTCAAAAAATAGCCCACAATTATTTTTTTTAAATGGAGAAAAACCATTTCTCAGCAATCTCTTTTAAAACCACTAAGTAAGAGATAGCTTCTAGAATGTCAGGGAAACAAATATTTTTGTACTTTATCTAATGTTTAAGTACAGAACTAGATCTATATAATTTCTGCTGGTGAATGTAGTGTTATGTGTTTCAATGATTCTGTTGTTTTTTTCTCAAAACTCCCCCCCCCCCCCCCTTTTCCCAAAAAGCAACTTCATTTCTTCTGCACACAAAAATAAATGTCTTCTTTGAAAGTGCCACCTCATCAGATTTTGGTAGTCTCTACTGAAAGTGTCTCTCCACATAAGCAATAGTACCTCCAGCAAGCATACCTGGTAGAATAGCAGTACTTGAGTTATACAATTAAATTACTGTCTGTTAGAGTAACAGTATATAACAAGTTATTAAATAGGTTTTTAGGAAGTCTTGTGTAGTTGTGGCTCAAGCTATGTAGAATGTCTGTCATTGATAGTGTGGTCCTAGTATTGGATAAACAACTTTTTTTTTTTAGCAGGATAATTTATTGATATAGTTAATATACAAATGATTGTAAAGGTCATGATATATCAGTGTACAACCTAATGTGTATACTTGAGAGACTATTGTGCAGTAACATTTTGTCCTATTGGACACTGGGACTAAGGAGTGTCAAGTCTCTAGTGTTCATTGGTGGGAATACGTTTGTATGCACATCCTTTCATGTTATCAATTGATGATTTTTGTACAGGGATATTTTATTTGAGCGAATATTATGAAAGATGTTTCTTGATAGTCTGATCTATTGGATTGCTAGTAGTGATGGATGATTGTTTATGTTTACATGTTTGGTTGAAGTCCTGTATTCAATGAAACGTTCACAATACATCAAGAAAGTTTATGTTTTAACATTTCTACCTTGCACAATAGAAATGGCAGATTGCAAAAATAAAGGTGAGAAAAGTAGAACCCAATGTCTGCAAGCTTCTCAGATGGTCTGTTGATTTAGTGAGGGTTAGATGATGTTGCATATAAAGGTAGATATCCAGAGCATAGTGTACTTGTCAAATGTCCACTGAGGCTAGTGAGTCCTTCATCTTGCCACAGTTAGGACAAGGGAGACTATTTTCAAAAAAGTTCATTCAACTTTCATTTTTTCGTTTCAATCAAATTAACCCTCGAGCCTGTTGTACATAGATATACACATATATTCTAAACTATTTTGTATTGTTGTAGTGTAATGTACGCAACTGTCCAGCCAGGTGCACACCCACATCATTAGGTACATGGAATAAAGCATGTATTTATTTCAATGTAGGATCATCTTGTATTGGCAATATTGTGAATATTATTTTGTGTTGAATGGACATTCCCATTATTTAATTCAACCTGTGAATCAATCACATGTCCGATTGAATTTATCACTGTCATCACAGGTATCATTGTGAATACATTTCCACCATTATACCTTTTTTTTTGTTGTCTTATTTTGTGTACTTGTGGTAATGTCTAATTGAATAAATGTTACTATCTAGACTTGATCAATCAAATACCATGTTCAAAAACCACAGGATAAGGAAAGTAATAACTATTTAAGAAAATCTTTTGTGATTTTTAGTGTAGAGCTTAATGTCAAACAAAACAAGAAGGAAATGTACTCAGGAAATATTCCGTAATCAATCTACAAGATCAACACAATAATATTGGCAATCTCCAAGTAATTAAACACAAGTCCTAAATTTATATTTGCAACAAGAAATATTTAACACCTTGCACTCTTGACCTGGATTTTCGAAGGTCCTTCACTCATGGAAAGATTTGAAGGAGACTTTAAGACTTAGACACAGAGCTCGGCTATGTTGTTTGAAATTTGAAAGAGACTTACTCTGCTATTTTAAGATTTGATCCAAGTCTCGCAATTTTGTTCTCTAAATATTTCTTTGAGTACTGTGCGAGTCCCCCTTACAATCGTAGGCCCTAGGCCAGCGGTTCTCATCTTTTAAGCTCGGCGACCCCCCCCCCCCACCCCCCCCCCCCACACACACACATACAGCATTAGAAGAGTAGACAATAACAATTAATATTTTCGATGGTCTTAGGCGACCCCTGGTGCATCGTCAATCGACCCCCAAGGGGGTCGCGATCCACAGGCTGAGAACCCCTGACCTAGGCGGGTGCCCAGTTTGCATATACACGTACTTAATTGATTCGGAAGTAAAACTGTTACACACTCAACCAATGTTACAATTTGACGCTGTCATGTTACTAATTAAAAATAAGAAAATTAGATTCTTTTATTTGGTCCAAACAAAAGGAAATCCCGTTTGACTGCTACTATAATAGTAATGATGCTAATTTAAAACATGCCCGCACACAACCATTGCTTGATGAATTGTGTGTGTACTCTTCGGTGATGACGACAGTTGAGAAGAGAGCTGCACGATCATAAACATCTCCTTCGTCCCTAAATAATCAGCAGTGATTTGATTTACATGTTTCGAATGTTTCTTCTGATTTGAAGAGTATTACATCTTAGCCCAAACTTTCCACAGGAAAATGACGGGGAACAGGGTTCGAACCCGGGACAATCGAACGACAGCCCAGAGCGCATACAACAATTATAATGATACTTTAGATGACTCTTTATTCCGAGTTTCAGTGGAAAAGTTGGTGTACTTTTATGTCCCTTTCAGTTTACATGGTAATACGTGGCCTTTATGTGGGTACGAGAAAGAGGGAAAATAAACACATATACACACAGAGAAAAAGAGAGAGTGAGTGCGTAAGAAAAAGAACAAAAATGAAATGCAAAGTATCTGACTACATTAGAGCAAAAGAGTGGGCAGAACTTATTTTACTTGATTGTATTGGTGGCCGCAGCGCGACTGTATTTCATTATCTTTATAGTAAATTACAAATGAAAACTATTCTGTTATTACAAATAAGAAGACGAAATGTATATACAAGACAAAACAAGCTGGTCAAACACATTGAAAAGAAAACAAAATTTTTAAATGTTGCTTTTTAGTAGGCCTAACAGTAATACCTAATTATTAAACCTTTCATTGAAAATGGAAAAAAAAAATACAATTTTAAATGTTACTATCTAGAATACCTAATAGTAATACCTAAGTATTAAACCTTTCATTGTCATGTCACAGACACATGAAATCTAATTTGTTACTAATACATCTGATATACCGGGTATTACATATATATATATATATATATATATATATATATATATAAATATATATCTGATATAACTTATTTTACATCCGACAGACTTCTAATACACTGGGCTTATTTCAGGTGCATTGAGCATACAGATAAAGTAGGCCTACCTTTGAAGAATTTAAAATACATCTAACACACTTCGAATGTATACGTTCAATATATAGGATATCTTTCATACAAGTCTACACCATTTGAAACAGAATTCAATAGATTTAGCTGACCAATCTCAAAATATATGATCTACACTTACACCAATGACAATCACATAACTAGTGTGGTATAATAATTGCTGCCTTCATAAGCCAATTGAAATAGAACTCAAAAGTGTCGTAAGCACGGTTATTTCCCTACTAACAAAGACACTACAATCGCTTAGTAAGTAAACAATACATCTTAGAAGACAATCGTTATTCTCAGTCGTTCAGTAGTTGTCTGTCATTAAGAAGATATAACAGCACCGTCTTCCATGTCTTGCAACTTCCACGGCGTGTGGAAAAAAGAGATGGCCATATTGCTAGCGCATTTCCGGTTTTTGTGATAATCTGTAAGGTGAAGGTCAATCCATTCTTCCAGACGTTGAATTTTATTTTCAGGGAATTTCACCCCGATCTGACCTGCCACCATACTGCTACAAAAGAAGCCGTAGTCCAAACAAAGCTCGACAGTGTAACCTTGAATTAACATGGACAAGAAACCTAGAAAGAGAAGAAACTGCTAGCATAAGTGATAGGCCTTTGGATAGTGCAGGGGCGGACTGGGTGTCAAAACCGGCCCGGGCATTTGTGTACTATCTGGCCCATAAATTGTACGGACATCCAATTATAGGCTTACATGTCATTAAAACCGTTACGTTAAATTTGATAATGTATAGATAACTGTACACATATATAGTTGCATACAAGAACACTAGATCTATATCATAAGACATATGTTGCTTTTTAATCGCAAAGTGTGTAGTCTTTAAAAGGATTAATCTTAGCCTACTAGTAGCACTAGTAGCTATTACATTATTTCCTTAAATGTGTTAGATTAAATTAGCAGGCCCTATTACACTGTAAAGTCTGTAAAAGATTTTTAAAAATAAATACTTCGCTCTGAGAGCCCCTTTTGTAAGAGAATACTATAAATAATAAAACCTTTAAAAATTTGAGAATACTATAAAAACCTTTAAAAATTTGAGAATACTATAAAAACCTTTAAAAATGTGAGAATACTATAAAAACCTTTAAAATTTGAGAATACTATAAAACATTTAAAAATGTAATACGTGCCACAGTGGCATCCATGCGACTCTTATCTTATAATGTAGTAGTGACTTCAAAAAAAAGATGATTATTGCCCGAATGCCCATATAGCCAGTCCGCCTCTGGGATTGTGTATTCGACTTTCTGATGTAACCATGTGTAAAGGTGGGCGTATTGTTTGTGTACGCTGAAGAGATTCTGATGAAACCATGAGATCTGTCATAGTTCAGTCAACAAATAGGGAAGTGTTGCTTGAATAGATGAGAACAAGCGAGAGATGGGTGACAAAAGGATGTCTATTTTTAGTGAGTCAAATTTTTTAAAAAGAATCATTACAAATCTTATAGCAGCTCTCTCTGTCTAGGTGGATCTTGTAGACGTTATTTCTCCATTTTCTCATTCTTGGATCAATTCGAAACTTAGCACAATTATTCATTGTCGATGACAACACACGAATCGATAAAAAAAAAAAGACCACTTATTAATCGTTATATAGAAAATGCACTAAGCTAAGGGAAGATAAGCCGTGCAAAATTTGAAACCAACAATCAAATGTTATATTTTTTACAAGTACTTGAATAACTCAGTGGCTAGATTGTAAGTCATCCATTGTGGTGGCTCGAGTTTGAATTCAGGTCCCAGCAAGTTTTTAAATAAAATAAAAGTTTTTGAAAGGCAGCCTACCCTATGCATTTTTTTTAAAAATCCCCCTCTTCACATAATAGATTATAGGTCCCAAATACGTCAGGGACTTTTACGAAGTGTTGTTTAGAAATGTTACTAAGCATTTCTTCTTCAGTACAGAGGCTTTTTAAACAAACTGGTCACAGAACAATCATAAGTAATGACAGTGGCGTAGCTACCAATGTGCGGGTGGTGCGGGCCGCACAGGGCACCAAGTGGAAAGGGGCACCAAAATTCCCCCAGTCTGTATTAATTTCCTATTTTCCTGAGCTTTTCAGTAAAAACGGCTAATTGTTTGGACACGAACAAACATAAACTACTGTATTTTAAAAATGAACTAACGATTTATAAACTAGTCATGTCGCTATTTTGTTTCATCTCCTTGACTATTTCTTCAATACAATGTAAGCTATAGAACAGTTTGAATCTAATTTACTGCATTTATTTCGGACACACGGTACATGTTGTTACTGCACTGATCAATGCTCTGTAATATAAAGAAGAAGAAGAAAATAGGCCAACCTTTTTTTTACTTCATTGTTTAGTCCATTGGTTTAATCTAGATAATGAGTTTACAAATATATTACTAAACTCTAGCTCTAAACAAATGTCTTAGTTAATTCATTTCTTTATGATTCTTTATAGTTTAATTTTGGAAATAATTCTATTGTAATGTCAATATTTTTAAATAAGCTAACCTTTGTTTTCTACTAGTTTTTTTTTTAACTAACTTGTTAATTGTGATACTGTAACGTAAACAAAATGATGAACAGTGCTCAAAACTGACTAGTCTGCCTGGCGCCTCAAAACCCTTTTAAGCTCAGACGGAAAAATCGGCATATCTGGTTTTGTCCGTTCTGGGTAGACTATAAGGGCCCTATACCCAGATCTATCGGGATCCCTCATTACCGACCCATCGGTATGGCAGAAAAGTAGCTGATGCCAAGTTTTGGAGTATGGCAGGCGTTAATCGCCTCTTGGTGGCTCCCTCTTGCCCTATAAAGGACATGTTTATTTGTGGGGCCGGCCTCTCCTCCACGGAGGGCAAGTACTAATTCTTCTAATAGGAATTCTATCATTGTAGAGCCCAGCTGATTTTGACAAATTGGCCGCAATGTGGAGGAACGATCGCACTTGTATGCGGTTCCTCTCTCCACTGTTGCACTAAGATTGTGGTGGGTAGTCTAGAGTCGCCCCTTTTGTAGCGCTCATAGGCCGTAAGTACCGCCCTCTCCCTCCTTAAATGTAAAGGGGCCACGTTTGTTAAGATTTCAGCAGCGTTTGTTGGGCTTGTTCGAAAGGT